GAGTAGTGTAGTAGGTGAGAGTGTGGAAGAAATACTGCGAAGAGAGCTGAAGTTTGAATCGCTTGTAGGAGAAGTGTGTTGTAGACGAGATTATTTTGTGCTGTAAAGACGTTTTAGTTGATTAAATTCATTATTGTTGGAAGACTTTGTGGTCTCTTACAATCCAACCAAGTTTACAACTGAGATTGGATTTGAGGTAGTAGACCCCGCAAGAAATCAAGGGTTGACAATCAAGGTTGTATACCGACCCACGCTACAGTATAATTACATTGGAATACAGTGTATTTGGAACAAATAGTAGATAACAATAATGTTGCTGAAGATTTCTGTCTTCTGGGTTGTTGTGCTGTGTAGTCTGGTCGATGTTAACCAACGTTTCAGAGGTCATACTGCCTCCGTCATCAGGGCGATCGCAGTATGACCTCTGAAACGTTGGTTAGCATCGACCAGACCATACAGCGCAACAACCCAGAAGTCAGAAATCTTCATACTCACCGCTGTGAAAACCTCAAATCTTAAATAATGTTGCTGTTTCAATATGGAAAGAAGGCAGATAATCAAATTAAACAGGAGATACTGAATCAGGATTTTGGGAATTTCAAAGAGCTACAGGTGTTGCTGAACTCAGAAGATAAGAATCAACTGTCACACAGACCACTACAACAACTTTTGTGATCCAGTGTTCCAAGTCTGCTCAACTTTATGACCACTAAGTTCCATCTATAATTAAACTTTTACTATAACAAGCATCTGTTATTCTGGGAGACAAATATGACAACAACAGGTTAGGAAATTCAAGCACAGCAAAACAAATCTAGACTCAAGCCTACCAAATATTTTATTCTGTCTGTTACACTCGAGTACCAAGAAATTCACTCATTTCATACCAACCACTTTCTGGATATAAGTGACTTTTTAGACAGACATTAAGCATGTTATTTTATGTCTACACTTACCACATAGAACATTCACACCATAGGTCCCAGAAAATGTTTCATGAACCCCAGAAGACCCATCAAGAAAAGTGTTACCTTTCAGCAGTATTTACCTGCTTTGAGCACTGTATCTGAAAGCCTATGCTGGGAGATCAGATCTCCCTTCGTTGTACCAGCTGTCGGAACTGCCACTACAGGTTTGGTGATACTATCCCGTGCTCGGTTTGTAGTCACAGTCTGAGATTTCGCAGGTGGCCGATCAGGTCTCTTGTGTTGATGCTGTTAAAAAACAATTTGGAAACATTACGCCAAATATGTTCCATGTTACTTTATAAATTGTGAAACATCTGTGCCAATGCCAAGTTTGGCACCAACTGAGATATCATCTGTCGCTAGTAAAATTACAGGTTATGTCTATATTAATATATGAACCACTTTATAATCGAATATACAGTGCACTGTCTGGAGTTATTTCTACTCATTCACCTCTTCTTGAGGAGCAACTTCCACAAAGTTGTCTGGGAACACGCCGACCTTGCCCCTGAGCTCGCCTCTCCACCAGCCCTTGTCTGCCACTTCTCGACTAAGCAGTATAATGAGATCACCCTCCTTCAGCGTTAGCTCATCTTCATTGGCTGCCTCATACGGAAACAACACTCTGCACAATTCTTTCACTGTTTAGGAAAATGTAATATAAGCAATCAGCAGTCTATAAGGTATTTTCATAACGCTTTATATGGTAAGAAATATAATGGGAGAAAAAAGTTTTACTTTGGATTATCATATTGTAAACTTACAGAATGCTGAGAATCTTTGGACCCAAGAGAGACAACGTGACAGGACGCTGGAGAAAGTTGTATAATGAGGAGCTCCATAATTTGTACTCTTCACCGACTATTATAAGTATAATCAAATCAAGGGCAGTACGATGGGTGAGGCACATAACATGCAACGGAGACATAATAAATGCATACAAAATTTTTGTTGAAGGGAAGAGATGAGTCAGAAGACCTAGGTGTAGTTCGGAGAATATTAAAATGGATCTTACAAAATAGGGGCACATGGAGGATGCTTGGGATAGGGACCAGTAAGGAGATCTTATAAATACATGATGAGCCCATACATTTTACAGGTCAACAAGATCAACAAATTTAATTTAAAATATATTCTATATTTAACAAAACATGCAGAAAATATACTGAAATGTGGAATATTTAGTGCCATTCAATGAGTAAAAATTAATTTGTATTTGAAATAAAAAGGAAGAAGATAAAGGTCAATGAGGCATGCACACTATCAAATATCTTCATCTTAATATTTCCACATTATGAGAGTCACTGGACAACCAAACTTCTAAACCTATATCCATCCTCTATTTGGATATAACATGAATTGCAACTACAAACATCTTTCTAACCTTATTAAATAAAAGAAAATTTGACTGATGTCTAACATATTCTTCGACATCACAACTTACTTATTCTATTTTCCTTGACAACAGTTTACAAAATTTAAAAAAAACAGTGATTGTACGTTTTACCAACCTTCTCATCTAAATTACCTGGCTTTGGTGGCAGCACTGGTGCCTCTGAATCCTGCTCTGGCTTACCAATAGAATCCAACAGCTGACTGGAATCTGGGCTTGAAACCGAAGTGGACAGCTCCCCATCACTTTCACCTACAGAGGTAAGGTCAACCATCACACAAAACAGAGTAAATTACATAAAATAAACATATTATGAAGGTCAGTAATGGCAATAATTACAGAAGCTACAGTGAGAAAAATGGAAGACCAGTTGTAATTAGGAGCATAATACTGAAATTGAAACACAGTTAAAGTGTGTGGATTGGATTCATCTGGTTAAGAACAGGGACTGGCTTCTATAAACACAGTAATAAACCTTCAGGTTCCATGAAAGATGGGAAATTCCTCAACTAGCTGAATGTACTATTACCTTCTCAAGAATGACTATTCCATGGAGTTCATATTAGTTACTTAACATTCAGATCTGTAAACTGCATGGTTAGGAACAAATGTGGGCTTCTATGTAATTTTCTATAGAATATCCATATGAATGTTTGGACCAGTGGTCCCCAACGTGGTGCCCGCGGGCGCCATGGCGCCCGCCAAGGCTTTTTTTGGGTGCCTGCATTGATACGGAAGGAGGTTATACTGAATAATGAAGGCCGTTCAACCACGAACATTATAAAATCAAAGCACAGATCTTGACTTACTGACGCCCATCTTGACAATTGTTTGCGAGCAACAACATCATCCTACACTCGCAAATTTGAAAAACTGGCCAATGAAATGCAGCGCCAAACATCACACTAACTTCCCACTTGAGTAATAATAATTGTACTTTTAATTGCATGGTTTCTTGTATCATTAAACGTCGTGTTGTTTTGCGTATTATTTGGTGTCCATATCTTATTTGTCCAGAGAAAAGAAAATTTGGCTTTGTTAATCGGTTGGTGCCCGCCACGATCTCATAAACTCTCAAATGTGCCCGTTGGCACAAAAAGGTTGGGGTCCACTGGTTTGGACATACCTGACACTATGGTCTATAAAATGACTGTCTCCAGTCTTGTTATAACTATCATATTCACCTACCTGTAACCTTTATTCTGTAACAATAGGGGCTTTAAAACCTTGAACTACAAGGTTACCAGCTGAACATTAGCCATAGGGTTTAATGGTTTATCAGTGTGGTAATGTGACAGGCAGCCAGATGGAATGTGTAAAAGCCAAAGATAAAAAGATAAAGGTTAACGTGTACCCAAAATAAAACAATAAAAATTTATTACAACAGTTTCTAAATACAGTAAATAACTATAAATAAATAAAACATTCTGAGAAATGACAAATTTCTTTTAAAGTTTCAATCACAATGTCATGCAGTCAAGTGTTAGGAGGAATCTGGAGAGGAAAACATATGCAGTATATTCAAGCAAATAGAGCGCCATTTCTTCCACCATGCTGCATCTATTAATAAGACAAACAACACTGTGGAACAGAATTAAGCAAAATTAACACAATTAACTTACTGGCTTCTTCACGGCTGCTGGTTCTTGCTTTACGAATGCCCGCTGTTCGTGTATCTACAATTTCTGTCACAAAATTGGATGGAAATACACCAACCTGAAATTTAAATAACCTTTTGTCAAAACTCGGATTTCAAAGCTCAGCCTACAACAAATTCATACATGTCAATGCAGGTTTCTTCACAACATTCTCAGTGTAAATAACAAATGCTTACAATGCAGCTGAAGGTCACTGGCAGTGAATGGTACACTGAGAAAATAAAAAGTGGCCACTGTCTATTTCAAAAATTACATCCCAAAAATTTATTTGTAGGGTATAAGGAGTCTATGGTCAGTGTACATATTTCTAGACTAAATCTGAGATGCCTAATATGGGAATGGTAAAAATATGACCAGAATTGTTACTGTTTCTCATAAACAAGAATGCTAATTGATGTCATTTGTGCAACCACTTCCTGGGATGGGATAAGTGTGCACATGTAGGAGGAGTACCTCAGAAGAAACTGAATGTTGTAGCCATATGGTAGTGGTCAGGAAGTCTGAAGCTCAAATCTCAGCTCAGAGACCAGCTATCCTGATTGAGGAGTTCATGGTTTTCATCAGACACTACAGGGAGTTGTCAGGAAAGTATCTTAGACTAGGCCATAATCACTGCCTCTGTCAAAGATCCTGGAATTTGCCCATAAAGACCAAGAAAAACAAACAAAAAAAACTAGTCAGTATCACTGATAAAATAACCAAGATTAAAAATGGGTACCTCCCAAACAAAAGTCAACAACATTACATCACAATGTATTAAGGTTGCAGTTTATCATCAGTTGGTAAAAATTATTGTGAAATTAAATGAAAAGAACAATGTCTCAGAATTCAAAATCCCCCATTATCCACTCATGAAACTGTCTCCCCCTTTCAACACAGTACACTTCATTCATTGCACGTCATTTAACATTACGGCCTAATGGAAAATCAGTCAGTCCCTCCAAGTGACAATGACTGACTACCAGTTCAAGCTATTTTTTATCTTAACAGATGGTACAATAAGCATAGCTCTTTCACTTTATCACAGGAAATTATGTCTCAGTGCATTATCTTGCTATTAGTCAGAACAGGACATCACATTTCAAGAGCTATACATATACATTCACTCAAGAAACACTTCCACATATTAAGAAAGATAAATACACTTCTATTTAAAATGAGTAATTCAGCAGGCAGTACTGGGATTAGTGTCCTAGTTAGATGAGATGCAGACTTTTCTAGACCTGAGATAATATTCAGTCTTCCTTCATGACTATCAGGTCACATGATTTAATGATTACCATGCCATTTTATTAATAATGCTACTTAATTCCTCTATCAGAATCAGTATTTAGTGACACATCTGACGCTCATTTTACGTGAGTAATCTGTTAATATGAAAAGATGACAATCTTCTTGGATGTTGCACTGTGTAGTCAGGCAGAAACTTACAAGTGTTTCAGAGATGCTTAATACCTCCCATCATCAGGGCAATAACAGTCATTTTCTATGAAACAACACGGCACGTCCCAGAACACAGTCATCTTCACACTAGTCACTAAGATAATTTCCATCGCAATTTACACGCGTCCCTCCGAGAGCTCACAATTCCAATGAACATTCAAATAATATCCTGTGTTATGTCCTCAATTACAAAATGATGTGTTGGCTTCATACATAAAGCCGGTTACTTAGTAAAAGCAAAAGAGCGAATCTCTTAATTCACACTACTCACTGTATCTCCGAGTCTGCCCTTCCACCAACCTTCTTCTACCTCCGCCAATATATCAATTACATCATCAACATCAAGTTTAAGTTCATCTTCATTGGCTGGTTGGTAGCTGAACAGAACTTTACACCGACGCCCACTACCTATAGAATCAAACATCATGTTAGATATTTTTGCATTTCAGGTTCAACAGGTTGTGTCTAATATAAAAGATTGGCTTTTGAGTTTGAGTCATGTTGTTCATTGAAGCTTTTCAAAATTTTCAGTAAATACTGCAGTCAAGATATTTAGGATAAATGCCAGATATAGGTAAAAGCAAAAGCATACGGATGGTTCAGAAGCCAGTGTGGGTAATTTACAAATACTTATTCTTTCAGTTTTTGGAATGTAACATAATTTCTTTATTACATGTGTTTATAATAGCTCAGAACTTCTGGTTAAGGTAAATGCTTCTATGGAGTAGAGAGGGGATACGATATACATTTTACAGTCATTTTAAATTAATTTCAAGTAATAATTTTCTTTCACAATAATTTTCAGCTTCCTGATTAGAAAAAATTCCCAAATTTTAGATAAAATGGAACCTATCAAACTAGATGCTAAACTGTTTATTAAATAACAATAAATGCCGAGGTTATGTAGCTGTAAATGATACATAACAGGGTAATTTATGTGAATACTGAATAAGGAGGGATGGATGTGTGAGGAGGCTTACATAGTCTATTTTAAGGTCCTACCCCAGAGGAATTGATAAAACCATAAAGAATCTTATGTAACATAACCAGTCCTTGAGAGGATTTTAATCATACACTTCCAAAATGCAATTATCCTCTGCCACCTATTTAATACCTTTTAAATTATTAATTCTGCTGTCCAAATGCCAATAAGAATTAACACATGTGGAGTGAAAATGCCACTAATAGCATGCATTAAGGAGACAGTAAATAACATGTTAAGATACAAACAAGATATTTACCTAGTATATTATGTTCTGTCATATTTATTGCATTAATCCAAATTTAAAGCTGAAACAAAATCTGATACAGTTTACTGTTCACAGGTTAACTCCACTTTAGCAAAGTCAAAGATTATTTAGCATCAAATTAAATCAGAGAATGATTACAAGGCATGGAAAGATGAGAAATTTGTACATAATGCTGGTCAAAACATATAAAGGTCTGAATCATAATATTCAATGCAAGCAGTATGATTCTGTAAACATGAAAGTACTACTTTTCCATGGAAGGGAAACTCAAGTTGATGAATCCCGTTGTTACGAAACCTGAATATTAATGACATAAATAGAAAAGCACACTAGTATGTAAAGTACGTGTGAGATAGTCACAAAATTAACTTACTTGATCGTAAGGTGACATTATTTGAATCCTTTGTACCATCTGTCTCAGACAAAATCTGAAATAAAGAATTTTAATTAAGAATAAACCATGCCAACTTGAAACATAACTTAGTATCACGATAAGAGACACTAATTTTAGAGAGCATTATCATAAAGGAACATTGGAAACACAACTACAAAAGTATTTAATGTAACCTAGATGCATACATCAGAATAAAAATTAATTACAAGCTGGTTAAAGAAGCTGACAAATGTATTTATCTGCAAAGTAAAATAAGTCATATGTTAACATTAGAGGCTAGAGGAAAAATCCTGCCCCCATCGGGGATCGAACCCCGGTCGTCCAGCCCGTAGCTAGTCACTATACTGACTGAGCTATCCCGGCTCTTAAAATAAGTCATATGTTAACATTTATGAACACATCATGAAAGAACACAAAAAGTCTGAACTATATTAAATTATAAAAGGAAAATGACACAAACCCACAAAGCAATGCAAAATGTTGATTCATATAAAAACAGTGATTTAAACCAATCTCAAACTGAACACTGAAACATGAACCACAAAATCCAAGCAACAGATACAAAGTGTTTAGAATTTTTCAAGGATAACAAGAAAGGATAGTGGACGTTGATCTGGGTTGAAATATAATATTATACAAAGCTGTAACTTATGTCTACATTCTCCTCATACAGTACTTACTTTCACAAAATTATCTGGAAACATTCCTCGTCTACCATTCAATATGCCTTCCCACCAACCACCTGGTTGTGTTTTTATGTTTGTTATCACATCCCCTTTTCGTAAATTCAGCTCGTCAGATTCTTGGGCTACATAATCAAATTCCACTACAGCTTCCACTGCAAACATACCATAATAGTGAAATCATACACACAACCACTCCTTAATGAACTTCCCATTTCATGTAAATGTCAACACAAACAAGTAGCCTACGCAGCACATTCAACCAAAATACAAAACATCCTTTGGAAGTACTTAAATTACAATATTTATTACCCCATTACAATATTGCTTACCCATATTATACTGCTATTCTAGAAAATATTTTAGAATTAATTGACGCGATAACAAGGTTCGAGTGGTGCATTCAAATCACTAATCCACCATCACATTACTATCACATTATATGCCCTGTCTTAAATATCATCGACGCTATAACCTATGCAACTGAGGAAGCGCTGTTAAACAAACGAAAACTCAATCAATATCATACGTAAACAATTTGACATAACTGCCATATACACAAATGACTGCACAACCGATTGCTGTTAATGATATGACGGTATTATCTGTGCTGATATCCACTCCCACATCTATTTCTCTGCGCTGACGTAATTTTAAGACAGTCGATGTCGTGGATAACCTACTCCTTGGCTGGTTGTATCCATCACGGTGTTCCCAATATGTCCTGCAGATGGGAGGACTGATCATCACAGTGTGCTCCCATCTAACGTAGAGTGTGTGAAGTACGCATAAAGTGCTTCAAACCATGGAACGCGACAGAAATGAAATTTTAAAATTCTAGAACACTTTCATCTACTTCTCCGTCTTCTGAGTGGCGTTTCCCAAGAGCTTCCAGCACTTAAATTTTGTAGTCATTTCTTGTCTCAAAATCCCACGTTATTGTAGTCTTATATACTTCATTTTTGTAATAATAATACATAAGTTATCATTGTCAATTACCACAGTTATTTATGTAATCCTTTGTGGGCATAAATATTTCCCTTACCAATAGTAGCCTATGATATTCTATTGGGTTCTGGCGCAGTGCAGACGCAAAACACCATCAACATCACCTCCTCAAATAGTAGCCTAATTGAAGTCCTTTTCTCCGTGTAAGAGACAACTTTTCATGGGGAAAACAAAATAGCTGTCAAAATTATTGTTTTGTTTCTCCTAATATCCAGAATTTTTAAAGAGCTTTCGAACTGAAGAATAATAAGACTGTATTACATGTGGGCAATTTCTTACCCGTCATAGTTGTAGTGGAATTTTTTAAAGGTGTGAGAACGCCGTGCTGCATAGGCAACTTCTCCAACTCACTGCTTTGGCGGGTCAGTTTAGATCTGTGTCTCTAAGGGGTTAACTCTGTACGCATATTCGAAACTACAACATTCATTACAGAACGATTAGAAATGAAAATTTCGAAGGATGTGAAAGGAAGCGGTAGTGGCCCATTTTAATTTACTCTACTAGCATTCGATTAAAAGGACTGAAGAAATCATGTTAAAGCTTAGACTAATATTTCAGTTGTATTCAAGTTTGTTTCGCCTCGTAATTTTATAGTGGTATACCACAGCTACGAAGAAGCATGACATTTGTTTATTTAATTATTTCTGATTTGTCTAACGGTACTATCAATAGGCCAAACAATATAACGTTAAATGATATGTTGATTAATAAATTTAAAAATAAGTGGACGGAAGTGGTCGTGGATTAATGTAAGGCTGGAAGGGTTGAGGAAAGGTAAGAGTTAGCATGCTTCTTCCAAGTGGTTACTTCTTCTTATTTTGGAGTTCCCAACTTCAAACACGGGCCAAAATATTGGCTATCCTGTCCGAGGATTTTCATGTTTGCATATTACCACGGTAAAAAAAACAGTAAGTAAGTAAGTGTGGTTGGTTCGTGTAGTATTTTTACGCTTACTAAACGGTCGTAACTGAATTTGATTATAATTACCTGATCTTGAGATTCTGATAAAAATTGCTTATCTTATTCTCAGATATTCACATGCAAATACGGCAAATTCAAAGCGTATGAAGTTCAATCACTTCATCAATAAGCTTCTGCACAGATATGTACTTAAAATATGATAATGTAAGCAAAACGTGAATCAATCTGTAGATAAGGCCGAGCTGGCTTTTTTTTGATACATGCGCAATCTTAATGGAACTGAGGAATGCGAAATAACAAAGCAGATGGCAACGAAGGTGAAAGAATAGGTTATAAATACACTCGATTTAACTGCCTCGAAACAGATTCCAATGACAAGTTTAAAAGAAATAATAATGAAACCGAACAAGAAGAAATTTATTTACTAGACGAATAACTCTTCAGTGCTAGATTAAGAGCTTCGTCAAACATAATTTACATTAACATAATCTCTTCTTATCGAGAATAAAACAAGATCTGAAAAAAGACTGCGTCCATCCTAAGTAAACTAATTTACTCTCTGGTAGCAAATATAGACGTTTCAATGTCACTAATACCAAAACTACTTAACTTCGGGTTAATTTTAATATTATCCTTCCACATTCTTCTTAATTTTCAAAGTTGCTGTTTCAAAGATGTTTCATCACTAAAATTGTGCAACAATTCCTTGTCTCCTCCATCCTCAGTAAATACCCAGCACACTGTACAATCCTCCAAAACCTCCAATAGCCATATGCCATTTAATCTACTAGACCATAACACAAATATTAGTAATAGTAACAATAGTAAGGGAACTGGCACTTTAAACAAACAATAAATAATATTTTTGTATGTATAGTTTGAATTTATACATCGGCAGTTCCAGACATCTTGGCAGGAGTTTCTTAATGAAATAAATTATAAACTAAAAGTGACCGACCACAGTGAAAATGAATTATTATGTCTTTGCGGAAGATATACGAGGTGCGATCGAAAGGTTTCCAGACTGCGTGTATAAAAACCCGTACACTTA